AAGTCTGGGAAGATTCCATCTTTTTCTATTTTCTGAAATATGGTGTTGGAAGGCTGGAGGGTCAGTGAACTAGAGGAAGACCCTTAGCCAGTGGATTGAGACAAGGACTGCTGCAATGGGCTCTTGTGTGTAAGGAAGGGTGGTAATTGTGCAGGACAGAACAGGCTTCAGATCTTTTGTTCATAGGGCCTCAGCAGCATCTGGCTCACTCTTGTTTAGTTGTAGTTTTATTCCTAGCAGTTACCATCACCTGTGAATGTGAGAGAAGTTTTCTAAGCATTCTCCTGTTATCTTTGTGAAGATATTGAGGAAAACTGATACTATTTTGTTTTTATGGGACTTTAAAAATATTCTTCTGTATTCAAAGATGAATTTCATTGGGAAAGTTTGCTGTCAGAGACCTCTCCAAAGTACTGAAGAGCAATGATGTCAGTCTGGAGATGAAGGTACACCTGACCCAGACCATAGTCTTTGTAATTACTTGCTATGGATCAGAAAGCTTGACAATGACTAGGAATGATAGGAGAATTGATGCCTTTAGGCTGTGGTGCTGGAGAAGAGAATTGACTATACCACGGACTTCTAGAAGAACAAACAGGTTCATCCTAGAGAGGGTGAGACTAGGCTGTTTCTTGGAGGTAAGTATTCTGAAGCTTCGTCTGACATATTTTGGACACGTTGCAAGGCAGAACCAGTCCTTAGAAAGAGATGTCATGCTTGGGAGGGTGGAAGGACAGCACAAGAGAGGAAGACTCTTGATGAGATGGATTGATTCAGTGACTGGGGTAATGGGGACAGGATAGAACAGGGTTTAGAGTTGTTGTACACAGGGTCATTATGAGTTGCATAAATCCTATGCTGTGTACTCCCATACCTCCCAACCCACCCTATCCCAAACCCACTTTTTAAATAAAAGTTTTAGTGGCAGTCCTCTCATTTTGCCTTTTTACTTAAAGCTCATATATTTTTATAATTTTCTGATTTTCTCCACAGTTTCCTTTAAATCTAAGACAAATGTCAACCTGACTACATGATGATAAATGTACATCATGTTTTGCCAGTAAAATCCAGTTAATATCAAACCTCTGAAGACATATGTGAGGCAGTGATAGCGCAGAGGTAAAATTCACGCAGGAGACCTGAGGTTGATTCCCAAACAATGCATTTTATGTACAGTCACGCGATGGAGGCTTGTGTGTCACTAGAATGTTGAGCATCAGTTTTCAGATTAAGACAGACTAGAAAGAAAAGCCCAGCAACTTACTTCTAAAAATAAGACGCCAGTGAAAACTGCATGGATCACAACAATAAGACCTGCACCTTAGCTTGGCGATGTCACAGGACCTGGCAGGATGTTGTTGTATGAGGAAGTGTAGAGGCAATGTGAGCTGAGGTTGACATGATAGCAGCTAACAACAACAGAGCAGCAGTAAAACCATAATCATAAATCAGGTAACCTAGGTGATAAGGATTTGTGACAAGGTGTAGCTTAGGGTATCAGACAATTGGGGGTTTGTGTGGAACCCACAAAAGAATATCATTCCAGAGTGAAGCCTGAGCTCTCTTGTCTGACATCCAGGACCCCCACAGTGTGACCCTGTGTGTCTTTCCATTTCTGCCTCAGCTTCCCACTCCGTCTCTACCATTGTTCCCCACATCAACTCTGCACCCTCCTGCGTCCTTGTTCCAGAAAACACAGTACATGCCCATCTGTAGCACTGATAATTTTGACAATGAACGCATCTTGTCTTTCATGGGAAGCTCCTTAAGGGTGGAGATCATGTCTGCCAGCTCTTTGAAATCCTATCAATGAAAAACAGCCGTTTCAAAAGGTTAGCTGTTTCAAAATATTTATATTGCCTACCGTCTTTATCCACACACTCCTTTACCAGAAAAAAGCACCTAGGATGCCACTGATGTTTGATTTCGGTAACAGCTTACTCATTAGCAAGTATGAACAATGCCTTATTCAACCCTCATGTTATGAAATTCATCGATGAAATCTCAAAGCAGTTTGCCTTCACTTTTCCCATGAAATTTTGGGGTAAATAGATTGTTTCTCCTGACCTTTTCTGATGTATTTCTAAGAGTCTACTGGGTTTGGGAAAGGTAGAAACTCACAAAAGTGGCAAGAACGACAGTAATTCAAACACAAGAGACACAGCCACATTTTCCCCTTCCGTGTGGCACTGAAAAAAATAGAAAGGCCCAATTAACTGAGGGCAAAGGCACTCTTAACTCACAGAAAAGCTACTCAGCTTATAAAAGCCAAGCCAAAAATAAATTCATTAATTAAAATTGGCAATTTGGCAGCAGTACAATGTTGAGGACACTTTCTCAACTCAGCTGGGAAAACACGGAGAGGAACCTGTCAAGTTTCAGAAGACAAAGCCCTAATAATCTGTTTGGGATGTGCCGTAAAACAGCAGATAAAAAGAGGCTTGTCAGTGGCCCTGCTGGTTTCAGAGGCACAGGGTGCTCCCCGCCATCTCCAGGAAATGAGTCATGCCCTGCAGAACCCATCACAGCTAAGGTTTAATCAGCTTCACAGCCTCCTGGCCTCCCACAGAAGACAGGCCTCAAAGTGGAGAGCACAGAACACAGGTGAGGAGGGAAGCGAGCCAGGAATGGTACCCACGGGACAAATAGGTGGTTCCCAGGGGAGAGTGCAGGGGCCGGGTGAGCAGACCCGGGTGATCAGATTCAGCGCAGAGGTGTCATAAAGTCAGAGCCTTCCACGTGCCAAGGCTCAGGGGCCAGCCTCTGCTGCAACTCCTCACTGCCAGTCTCCTCATTACTGTCTTCCACTCGGGGAAAGTCCAGCGCTGGCTCCTGCGTTGCATATGTCCACATTTCCATGGGGCAATCTTGGCTCAGAATTGCCTGCAGAGGAAGGCAGGAAGATAAAATACTGCACATCTCTTCCAGTCTCCAAAATTCCTATAGCTAATCCAAGTCTAGTGGGGCTCAGGAAAAACTCATCAAGTCTAGGGCATTTGTATTGTGTGCTTCTGTGCTTCCTAGGTCTATCAGTTCTCATCAGGACAATCAGCCACAAGATTTTTCATTCAATCCTATCAGTGGTAGCTGTACAAGTTAGAGCATGGTGTTTTCTGCCCTATCAGGTTTTTCTGCCTACGTTCCCTTTTGAACAGCTTCTAACTCTATCTCAAGCTCAGCTAGGTTCTCAGGGCCCTCAGGTTGCAGTAGGAGGACAGTTCCTTAGGAACTAAAACCATCTCTTTTCTATAATTGGGATTTTGTGCTTTAAAAGAGGATGACATAGGGAGCTCTGGTGGCCTAGCGGCTAAGGAGTTTTACTGTCAACTCCAAAGAGGATGACCTGCTAAGGATAATGGTGGTTGGCTTTACTGAATGAATGCAGCCAGTCTATCCAGTTATGAGTGAGTGTTTTGTGATTCATAACTTACCGGATACTACAGCAATTACAGGATGTCTATGCTCCAACTCCTTAAGTTTATCATTTTCTTTCTTTACTTAATACTCTTTTTAAAAGCCCAGTGTAAGGGAGGAGGTGGTTATGTAATGAAGGGAGGGGATCAGAAAACATGGCAAAGTCAATCCGTTATCAATAGAAAAAGAATATCAAGGAGACAGATGAAAAGGAGTGAGAAAGACAATGAAAGGAAACAGAAATATACATAAACACACATTGAGGAGAAGTCAACGCCCTTTACAACCTTTGCCTCAATGCCTTGGGGGCTCCGCAGGTAGAAACAGAGAGGAGCATAGATGATATTGATGACCCCAATGATGACCATGAGCCAAGGAAAGCCGATAGCTTGAACAATGGCACCCCCAGCAGATGGGCCTGTGAGGAAGGAATCAAATTTGCTAGTGTTTACTGGACATGTAAGACACATGCTACGGGCAACAAGAGGATCCAAAAGATGTCTCGGATCACATATCTCCAAAACTTTGCCTCCTAGTAATCAGCTTCCTGGTTACACAGTCAACTACTACAAAATCGTTAAAGGAGGTTAGGGTGCTAGGTCTAAATACCCTCCCTCTCCCACCTGCCTTCATCATACCTATTGCAAAACCCATGCAAAAAGCTACATCAGCAATGGCATAGACACTTCCATACACCGAGGTGTGACGCAGGTCGACCAGTTGTCCCATGATGGGCATCATCGAGGAATCCACCATGCCTGCAGCCAGAGCAAACAGGACATAGTCAGACAGCTCATCCACTTTCCTATCTACAGCATCCTGCTTTCTAGTCTTCCTTCATGGATTTTTCCTTTGCCTGTGGCCTTCTTTCTATGCAAGGACATTCAATTCAAGTAGTAATTATAAAGACTGTCTCCCCACATCCCACCTAATCGCATCCCTGCTCCTTCTACTTTCCACCCACTTCCCTCAAATGAAAAGAAGAAAAAAAGAATATGATCCGAAATGAAGCATGTGACCCCCAAAACAATCGGAAATTTCTCATTTTCCTAAAGGACACTTCTTACCAATGGCAAAGCCAACCCCAGCAACAGGACCAATAAGACCAGAAATACTGTGTGCCAATGGAACCTGCAGAGGGAAGAAATAAAACGTGATCAGGAGTACAGTTGGGCCATGAGGGAGGCTGTGATCAAGTGACCCTCATTTGAAATGCACTTGAAGCATTACACTTTCTCCATAAAGAAGAGCCTCAATCTCCAAGTAAAAGATATAAAAGCAAGGTTTAGACCACTGCTAATTGAGTTAAAGTCCCAAGATCAAGTATGGATCTCAAATGCTGTTATATCATAGCAATGGGCCCTTTCGGGTGCATAGATTCTTCTCTTTCTCAACCTCATCCCCACCTCAAACTCAGAAACACACTTTTGTCCTCAATCTTCATGGAGTGAAATTACTTCTCTTTTCCATTAGTAATTCAATCCAAAGGTTTCATTTAACCTCCTAACATTGTTGCTGGTGGAACAAGAAGATGGAAAACATGGGCCAGTAACCAGTTAACACAAAAGCTTGAAGAGCAGGAAGGGGGAGCATTTTGTAAGTCTGTGGACTTTTTTCTCATCTTCCCAAGCTCACACTGGGGCTCTCTGTCAAGATTTTACTAGTTCCTTGCCTCTGTCCCTGGTCATTTGCCCTTTGTGCCAGCCCAGCACACTCCCTGGGCCTTGGGTTTCTTCTGGATATCACCAATTCTCAACATTTCAAAATATTGTTTACACATTGGCTAATAACAATTTCATGTGTAGCTTTTTCAAAGGGGTATTTATATTTTATCAAAGATTCACTCTGGGCTCACCGTGAGCCAGACCAGGTTTGTGTGGATTAATCTCAAGAACCAAGTCAGATGGATATTATTAGAATCCTCCCAAAATGAAGAGGATAATGAGAATCAGAAGAGAAAACAAGAGCTCAGAATGCCAAAGGAGGGACTCTTGAAAATGGAAATGCCCTTCTTACAGTCTTATTTTCTTAAATATTCTGATGCGAGAGACAAATGCACAGATCCATTGGTAGATATGTTGGTGATAATGTGGGCCATTATTTGGGTCACATGAGTAAGTAAAGGAACTATGGTGGCTATGCTACTTACCCAAAGACAGGTGGTTCAAATCCACCAGCTCCTCCATGGGATAAAGATGGGCAAAGACCCTCCAGCTCAATGGCCCACACCACCACCAACACAAGTAAATGAAGTCTCCAGATGCAGTTTTGCTGCCCCAGTATTAGATTACATATACCTCCATGTGATCGCATATCTGCCTATACTTATTGCAGAGTTGTGGCTTCGGAGCCCATTACTCCTCTCCTTCACCCCCTTCTCCCCTCAACAGGAGACCAACTTCACCACCATCTCCCTAAATAATAACCCTAAAACACAAAGAAATAGCCCGACAGTTGTTGCCAAATTAACCCTCTGCTCATTTTTTAAAGTTGTTCTTACTTATCTGTGCCTCTTGTCTCTCTTCCCTCTCTTATTACTTCTCCTCCACACACAGCCCCTTTTAAATTAGCTCCTATTATACTCACAAAGAGCAAACTGGTACCTACGACTATCATCCCAACTAGAGTGCACAGCCACCTGGAAGAAAAAAGGTATCATCAATCAATGCCGTGGGTGATTCCTCCCACCTGCTACCCCATGACCATCAGCACTGCTCAATCCTATCTCAACCCCAAATCGGGAACCCCTTACAGCCTGAAAAGAGGAGCTCAACTCTACACATCCAGTTTGTCCCTGAGTTTATCTCTCTTTCTTTTGTTTCTCGGCCCTTCATTTGACTCCCTATTTCTTTACATAGGTACTCACAGGCTTGAAAGAGGAATCTCAAAGATACTTGACTCATGGGTATAACTAGACAACTTAATTTCTATATTTTTGCCCCAATCTTGCTATCTCCAACCTATTTATATTTTGTTTTCTTCAAGGTCCATTTGAAAATCCATAAGAATACCATTTAAAAAAAAAGAGAGTACAAATTTCCTTTTAGATCTCCTAACAATTGTTTTAGATAGCTCAGGTGGTTTAATGGTAAGAAACTATACTGCCAACCCAAAGGCATGTGGTTCGAATCCACCATTTGTTCTACAGAAGAAAGAAAGACAATCTCCTCTTTGATTTACTGTCTCTGAATACCTTCTGGAAGGTCAACTATGAGTCAGTTCCAACTTCATGGTACACATCAACAATAACAACTGCAATTGGTTTTAAACTTTAAAAATTAAAAAGTCTGAAAACTGAAAATGAGAACAGAGCTAACCATTTGATTGAAGTAAAGAAAAAAAATCCATACTTACAACTTCAGCCCTTTCTTCATGTCCACCCCTCCCCCCCCTTGGTTGCCTCTAAGGCACTTCTGTGCAGTAAACAAGGATTCCAGGGACAGTTTTACAAGCACTGCCCATTCCCAATGTCCTATGATACATTTGTTTGTTTTCCATAGCTCTTTCCTATGAAATTATTTTTTATCTTTACTTGTATGAAAACATCTAGATAGAAAATGTTGTTACATATACATCCAAACAGCTCAGAACCCCCTTTTTTGATACTTCCTTCACCATCTACTCACTCCCACCCCAACATCCCCAGCATACAGCTACTATCAATGTACACTTGTACTAGATTTTTAATCTCAGAGATGCTGCTTTTCATCTTTACTCCAGGAATAACCTCAAAGGCCTCGCTCATCTTATATTCTATGACCTCCTCTGTTCCCCAGGCTACATACATACCGGCCTATCTTGTTAGCCAAGACACCAAAGAAGTTGGTGCAAATGAGGTAGGACACACTGCCAGGCAAGAAAGCCAGACCTGTAAAAGTACACAGTTCTCACCTTTAGGACATGCACAATAACATCTGTCTTCTACAAGACTGTCAAGCCCCCATGTTACTCTCAAGGGTTCCCAAGCCACATATGTTTTGTTATCCTTATCCTCAAGCAGTTGTCACATGGCTCACGTCTATGCTTTGCTCAGGGGCAAGCCTTAATAAACTTCAATACATTAATATGCTTCTAACTGCCCCACCTTAAGCTTCCTGATGGCTGGCCCTAATGATTACTTTTTCTGTACAAAATTAGGAAAATATGGTGGCAAGATGCTGCACTGCAATCCCAAAGGCAGGTGGTTAGAGTCCATCAGATGCTCCACAGGAGAAGGATGGGCAATCTCCTCCTTGCAGTATCTTGATCTGTACAAAATATCAGTTTTAGATAAATATTTACTTCTTGGGAAGTAAAATACCTGTCCTGCTATATACCAGATCTCTCTAAAGTGCTAAAGAGCAATGATATCTGTTTAAATATGGTGCCCCTGATCTAAGCCATGCTCTTTTCCATTACATCCTATGCATCTGAAACTTGGACAATGAGTAAGGTTGACAGAGGACTTGATGCCTTTGAATTGTGGTGTTAGAGAGTGCTGAATATACCGTGAACTGCCAAAAGAACAAACAAGTCAGTCTTAGAGGAAATGCAACCAGGGTGTTCCTAAGAGACAAGAATCATAAAGCTTGGTGTCATGTAATTTTGAACATGTTGTCAGGAGGAGTCAGCCCTTGGAAAATCAGAGAAAAGATGGAGGGTCAGCAAAAGAGAGGAAGACTCTTAACAAGACTGCTTAACCCACTGACTGTAATAGCAAACTTGAATGCAGCAGAGAGTGTGAGGATGGTGCAGGATAGGACAAAGATTCTACATGCAGTTCATAGGGTTTCTATGAGTTGCAATCAAAATAATGGCACCTAACAACAACAATATCTACCAGCTCTGTGACCTTGGAAAAATCACTAAATAACTCTAAGTTTTTGTTTTTAAAACCGGGAAAAGCAAAACTATTATGTATGATAATGAACGAAGCTCAGAGGAGCTGTGGGAAGATATTAAGAATATCATCCATGAAGAATGCAAAAGGTCATTTACAAAGAAGGAGAAAGAAGAAAAGACAAAAATAGATGTCAGGAGAGACTCTGAATATTGCACTGGAGTGCTGAAAAACCAAAGCAAAGGGAAGAAATTAACAAGTTAAGGAGCTAAATAGAAGGTTTCAAAGGGCAGTACAGGAAAACGGAGCAAAGTATTATATTGAAATGTGCAAAGAACTGGAGTCCAAAAATGAAAGAGATGAACTCACTCAATCTTTCTTTTTTTTTATTTAGGTTGTTTATTTTTCATTTCAATGAACATCTACAGAGATTTTGGAATTCCATTCATTCATTGTTGCACCCTTCTCCCCGCAAAAACCCTTCCTCCCCCCCGCCCCCCCCCCCCCCCCCGTTTGCTCCTCTCCTTGAAAAGCAAAAGAAAAACTCCCTCATTGGTACACAATCCCCCCCGCACCTCCCCAAACCCCACCCCCTACCCCCAAATATAATCCACTCTGCAACCCTCATTGCATACTCCTACGATAAAAATAATGCCCTAAAATATAATACTTTTAGACTATTCTCTCCCCCATAGACTTCAATGCCGTAAACATATTTCACTCAATCTATCTTAAGCTGAAGAACCTAAAGAACAAATTCAAGTCTTGAGTAGCAATATTTAAGGATGCTATGGGCAGAAAGTTGAATGATCCAGGAAGTATTAAAAGAAGATGGGAGGAGTATACAGAATCACTGTACCAAAAACAATTGGCTGACACAAGAATTTCAGGAAACAACATATGATCAAGAGGCAATGGTGATGAAGGAGGAAGTTCAGGCTACTCTGAAGGGCTTGGAAAAAAATAAAGTTCTAGGAACTGATGGAATACCAATTGACATATTTCAACAAACAGATGCTTCCCTGGATGATATGTTCACTATGATGTGTCAAGAAATCTGGAGGACAACTAACTGGCCAACTGACTGGAAGAGACCCATATTTATTCCCATTCAAAAAAAAAAACAGGTGACCTAACAGGGTGTGGAAATTATCGAACAATATCACTCATATCACACACAAGCAAAATCCTGCTGAAAGTTATCCAGAAATGACTGAAATAGCACATTAACGGAGAACTATCAGAAATACAAGTTGGGTTTAGAAAAGGCTGTGGCACTAGAGCCATTATCATCAGTGTTAGATCAATGTTGGCAGAAAGCAAAGGGTATTAGAGGGACATCTCTCACTGTTTCATTGACTATGCAAAGACATTTGACTGTGTAGTTCACAACAAATTGTGACTAGCCTTGAGGCAAATGGAAATCCAAGAACACTCGATTGTGCTTATGTGAAACTATACTTGGACCAGGAAGCAGTCCTCAGAACAAAGCAGGGAAACACTGCATGACTCAAAATCAGCAAAGGTGTGTGTCAGGGATGCATCTTGTCTCCATACCTTTTCAATCTACACACAGAACAGATGATTTGAAAGGCTGGGCTTTCTAAGGAGGAATGTGGTATCAGGATTAGAGGAAGACTCATTAACAACCTATGTTATGCAGATGACACAAACTTACTTGCTGAAACTGAGAAGAACCTGAAGCTCTTGCTGCAGAAGGTCAAGGGCTGTAGTTTTCAATATGGATTGAAGTTCTACAGCAAGAAGACAAAGATTCTCACCACTAGGCCAATTGGCAGCAGCATGATAGATGGAAAAGAGATTGAGGTTGTTAACAATTTCAGCTTGCTTGACTCCACAATCAACACTCTTGGCACCAGCAGTCAGAAAATTTAAAAAAATGAATAGCATTAGGTAAATCCTGTGTCAGGAACCTTTCCAGAGTACTGATAAGCAATGATGTCAGTCTACAGATTAAAGTGTGCCTGGAGCCTTGAACATACTGTGGACTGCCAAGAAAGCAAAGAGTTCTGTCTTGGAGAGGGTAAAAGCTCTGTCTCACATACTTTGGGCATGTGGCCAGGAGAGACTGGTCCTTGGAAAAAGACATCTCAGAAGGGTGGAGGGATAGTGCAGGAGAGGAAGACCCCAAATGAGATGGATTGATATAATAACTAGCAATGGAGGTAGTGTGTCGGAGCCAGTGAGACTGGCTCAGGACAGGACAGGTTTCAGAGTCATTGTACTTAGGGTTGCTATAAGTTGGAATTGACTCAACAGTGCCTAACTATAACATAACATGTCAGATTACAGTGAAAAACAAATTATATAATTCAGTATTTATAAATTGAAACCCTGGCCATGTTTTCTTTTTATTTTGTAGCAGTGAATTGTTCAGAAGCAAAGATTTTGGAGTTATATAGTTCTGAGCTCAAATTGTGACTTGGCCACTTAGGAGCTCTGTGACCTTAAGCCACTTATTTCTCCTAAGTCTTATTCATTCACTCATCCTTTCATCCACCAATCCTTTCACTCATTTATTTATTTAATAAATTTTTACCCTACGTTACATGTTCTCAAAAACCTTCATTGCCATTAAGTCAGAACCAACTCGTATCTCACCTATCAAGAAAACAAAGACTCTCACCACTGCTCATATTGGCTGTCCCATGACAGTTGGAGAAGAGGTTGAGATTGCTAACAATTTCAGCTTGCTCAGTTCTACAATCAACATTCTTAGGGTCAGCATTAGGAAATCAAAAGACAAATTGCAGTAGGAAAATCTGCTGTCAGGAACTTCTCCAGAGTGCTGAAGAGCAACAACATCTGACTAGAGACTAAGGTACACCTGATCAAGGCCATGGTCTTCATAAATGTTATACATCAGAAAGCTGAACAATGATTCAGGATGACAGAAGAAGAATTGATGTCTGAGTTGTGGTGCTAGAGGAAAGCACTGAACATACCATGGACTGCCAAGAGAACAAACAGATCTCTCTTGCTGAGGGTGAAACCAAGTTGCTTTGTGGAGCAAGGATTCTGAAGCCCCATCTCACATACATTAGACATATTGCCAGAAGGAACCAATCCTTTGAGGAAGACATTATACTTAGAAGGTTGGAGGGACAGTCAGTACAGGAGAGGAAGACCATGGATAAGATGGATTGACACAGTATCAGGGGTAATGATGGTAGGTGTGTCAGAGGTAGTGACATTGATTCAGTATAGAGCAGGGTACAGAGCTATTGTGCATAGGGTCACTATAAGTCATAGTTGACTCGATAGCATGTAACAACAAAAGCAGGTTTCTAGAGGCTGTAAATCACACAAAGGAGATGTCCCATCTTTCCACTGAGGCTGGTGGGTTCAAGAGAGGTGCCACCTCTGAATTAGCAGCACAAACCCCTATGAACTAGGCCACTAGAGTTCCCTGATTATGTTTTCTAGAGACTAAATATAGGAAGGTAGATAGAAATTGACAAGGTCTTACCTCTCATGGAACACACATTCACGGGATGTGATATAGAAAGAAAACGAACAAATGGAAGAGATAATTTTAAGGAACACTAATACCTGGATTTCACCTGATGGCATGCATAGGAATCAGATCGATTACATATGTGGAAAGAACCGCTGAAGAAGCTAAATATCGGCTGTGAAAACTAGGCCAGGAGCTGATTGTGGAACAGACCACCAACTACTCATATGCAAATTCAAGCT